GAAGGTTTCGAAATCTGGTGTGATGAGAAAAAAGTTCATCTCTACAAACATCGCATGGGTTTCGATGCCATCGACTATCTTCAAATTAAGGGTGACTGTACTTTGTCTGGAGTTCACTGGGGTGGAAGGTATGGGACCATCATCATCATTGTTACAATGCATATGCTTTTTATTGCAGGTACTACAATATCCCATGGGAGACAGCATTCCCAGATGGAAATCTGCGAGCGGGTACGTCCGTTCCACTCAGGACCCTTTCGTAGTATGAAAATAATCCAAAACTTCTATTTCAGGTCAAAGCATCCTGATGCATGCTATTCCAAAGGGTGACCGTTGGAATTTGGACCTTCTAGGCAGAGGTGGAGATATCCTATTCCATTTCAATCCTAGACCCAAGGACAAGAAGGTCAGTGAAAGAGAATACTTCCTTACAGCTGGTGTTGGTACACGGTAGTCATACTGTGGCTTCGTTACAGATTATTCGAAACAGCTACAAAGGTGGTATTTGGGGCAACGAAGAGCGTGAGGGACCATTCCCATTCGAGAAAAATCACGGTTTTGATCTCAAAATCGAAAATGAACCCTATTCCATCCAGGTAAGCTTACACTAGGTCCCCTTGTGGGCTACGATAATCTACCCTACACTCACCGTATCTCCCCCTTATTTCTTCGATTTTATCTCACATAAAAGTCTAAGGTAAAGGTGAAGGAGCCCAAAAAAGGATCTGATAAGGAGGAGCGGTCATTTATTTTGGTCATTAGCGTTTTAGTGGAATTACGGTAGACATACGATAAGATCGAAATTATCAATTTGTGCCAGAAACGGGGATTTCACCTAGACTGAACCTACCGTAGTGCTCCATATTGATTCATTTTCTAGCGTTCTCTTTCAAAAAACCATCTTGAAAATCTGAAAAAAAAGTATCGACCGGTGGTTTTTTCCTTAACGAACTTTCTTTTCAGATGTTCGTAAACAACGAGCGCATTGGCACATTTCAACATCGTACTCCTCATCCGACTGAAGACTACATCGGAA